CCTCCCGAGTGCTAGGATTAAAGGCGTGCGCCACCATCGCCTGGCTGTCCAATTCTTTGTAACTCTTCAGTCCTTCCTTTTTCTCTCTCATCTACTTTCTCTTGTATGTATGTATGTATGTATGTATGTATGTATGTATGTATGTAAAGGGGCTCATGTAGCCTAGGTTATATGTAGGTGAAGGCTATGGGTCCCAGGGATAGAATGTGGGTCATCAAGTTTGGTGGCAAATGCCTTACTTTCTGAGCCATCTCTCACTCTCGTATGGGTTTTTCCCCAGCAATGCCAGTGTTCCTTGGCTTATCAGTGCATCACTCCATTATCTGCCTGTATCATGTGACTTTTTCTGTGCCTTTTAATTTTTATAAATTTTATTTTCTGTATGTGGATGTTTTGTCGGCATGCATGCTTGTGTATCATTTATGTGCCTGGTGCATACAGAGGCCAGAACAGGAACTGGAGTTGCAGATGGTTGTGAGCTGCCATGTGGGTACTGGGAATAGAACCCTAGTCCTCTGGAAGAGTAAACAGTGCTCTTGACCTCTGAGCCATCTCTCCAGTCCCTCTTCTCTTATTATTTTAACTTTTTATTTATTTTCATTTGTTTCTCTGACAGTCTCTCATGTAGCACAGGCCTGGAATAGGAGGATACTTAGCGGAAAATGACTTTAATTCCTGATCCTCCTGCTTGTATCTCTCAAGGGCTCAGATTACATGGGTCACTTTGTACTATGTTTTATCTTCCCCCATTATTTAGAAATCTGGTTTTGAAAATTATCAACTAGCTTTAGGATCGCTGTAATAATTACATATAATATTTATAGAAAGTTATGCATATAATAGTATTATGTATTATTCAGTTAGTACAGAAAGCAATTGCATTAGTTAGGGATTGTATTGCTATAAAGAGATACCATGACCATGGCAGCTCTTAGAAAGGAAAGCATTTCTTTGAGGTAGGGGCTTACAGTTTTCGAGGATTAGTTCATTCTCATCATGGCAGAGAGCGTGATGACATGCAGGCAGACATGGTGCTGGAGAAGGAGCTGTTATGTTGATATGCAGGCAACAGGACTGTTTCACTGGGTGTAGTTTGAACATAGGAGACCTCAAAGCCCTTCCTCCAACAAAGCCACACCTAATAGTGCCACTCCCTTTGGGGGCCATTTTCTTTCAAACCACCAGCAATTTAATACAACTAGTCTGCAGTCTCCTGTAACATCACAAACCTGGTCAAGAAAACTACTGGGTGACCCTAGACTGAAATAGAAACCCTGTAATCTGATCAGCCTTACCCTTAGGATGAATCAGCTATAGTACTAACCTTACTTAGTAGCAAGTAGTACCATATTTAATGGCAGGGCCTAGGCCAGGGACTTGTAACCAAACTCTTGGAGTTCAGAGTTCCTAGAACTTACCAACAAGCAAGTACACTCCCCTTTGACATAGTTCATGCTCTAGTCATGTGCAGCTTTTCCAAGGGCTTACTCTGTGCTCTTTGGCTGGCCAAGGCAGAATTCTAGTCTTTTCTTAGTGCTCCTCTTTTTTGCCAGTTGCTGAGCACACAGCTTTCCCACCTACTTCTTAGTTGTGAACCACCATATGGGTGCTGGCAATTAAACCTAGTTACTTTGGGAGAGCAGTCAGTGCTCTTAACTGCTGAGCCCTCTCTCCAGTCCCTATATCTAGTGTTTTGCTCAGCTCTGGAGATAGAGAGATAAGGCAGAGTCTGTCTGATCTCAGGGAATGGATGATGGAAATGATGAAAAAGCAAGTAATTATGATTATTAAAACCATCAAAACAAAACAAAGGATTGGTAGAGAAAGTCACATGAGAACTTGTTTGAAAATGTAATCAGGAATGTGGAAGAGGAAGACTGTAGAAGATGCTCTAGAAACCAGTTATGTTCTTAGGTGGTACCAGGGAAGCCACTTCTGCCTCTAATTAGAGAGTGATTTGGAGGAAGAAACTCATGGGAGCAGATTCTAGAATAAGTGGTTGGAATTTTTTATTTCCAGTAGGAATTCAGGTTGAAGAAGTCCTGTCTATGCTCTAACATACATAGCAGACAGTGAGAGCAAAGAGAAAGAAGTTATGACTATAGAAATGTACTGATACTATAGAACAATCTAAGATTTCCACATGTTGCAAAACAAAAAATCAAAGGCAATTAAGAAACTGAGAAAGAAATACTTGCAAGACTTATTAATAGTGCAAGTCTTTTTAACGTAAAAGAAAAAAAGTGACTCAAAAGATATGAACTGACAGTTCACAAAAATAAAACAAAAACGCACAAGTGGCTGTCACTTTGGTGCTAAGATGCCTACCTTCAGTTTTGAAAAGGGAATGCAGATTGACAGGTCTCATTTTCTTTTCCCTATTTCTGAGATGTGTATTGCTGTTACCCAGATGGGTCTCAAACTATGATCCTCCTGCCCCAGCCTCCCGAGTAGCCATGATTATAGATAGGTACATGCTATTGCGCCCATGAAGATCTAATCTTTCACATGTGAAATTGGCTGGGATGCAGTTAACTACCATACACTGTCAGTGAGGCAGTAGAGAAACAGAACTCTTAGTACATTGCTGCTAGTGTAAAGTGGTGCAAGTTCTCTAGAGAATGATTTCGGAGTATGATTCCTTGACTGAGAATGGCCTCCCATTGGCTTCTTTCAATGCTTGGGTCCCGGTTGGTGTACTGTTGGGAAGGATTAGGAGGTGTGGCCTTGTTGACGGAAGTATATCACTGGGAATGGGCTTTCACTAACACCAGGCCCAGATTATTTATAATACCCTAGCCAATGAAATGCTATTAATACCGCATTGGTTAGGGGATAATGACAAGAAAATATGTGCATTTCAGTGCTAATAAAACTTTGTGCGGTGTGTGTATGTGTTTTGCATACACATGGGCGCATGGGTGTATATACACATGCATAATCTAGATCCAAATGCTAGGGTGTCTTCCTCTGTCACTCTGCATTTTATTTCCTTGAGACAGGGTCTCTCACTGAGCCAGAACTTTGCCATTTCAACTAGGCTGGCTGGCCAGTGAGCTATCAGACTTTGCATATCAACTCCCAGTGCTGGGGTTACAGGCATACATAGCCAAGGCTGGCTTTTTATGTGGATACTGGGGATTCTAACTTGGGTCTTTGTTCTGGCAGAACAAGCACTCTTACTCACTGAGTCATCTCCCCACCCCGACACAACTTTTGTCTAATATTTTCTGTCCATGGTTGGTGGAGTCCACAGATTTCAGAAGCCATGGGCGCAAATTGCTGACTGTATAATTGGTTGCTGCTGTATTATTGTGGTTATCATTGTTGATACTACAAGACCAATCACGATTTTAACTATTAATACTACTTCCCGTTTCTCTGCTTAGCTAGCATTATTATTAATTGCTCACAGCCCTCTTAGTTGCTCAGTGCATGCTTGTGAGAGAAGGAATGCATGCTGGGGTTATACATTTAATACATGCTTAATCAGCCGGTCGATCTACGAAATGAAGAACTTCTGAACAGCCGGGCAATGGTGGCGCACGCCTTTAATCCCAGCACTCGGGAGGCAGAGGCAGGCGGATCTCTGTGAGTTCGAGACCAGCCTGGTCTACAGAGCTAGTTCCAGGACAGGAACCAAAGCTACAGAGAAACCCTGTCTCAAAACAAACAAACAAACAAAAAAAACAGAACTTCTGAACTTTTACCGGGAAAAGGAGCTAGGAGGTTAATTGGTTATGAGATTTGCTTGTGAGTTTTCATTTTTTTAACTTCCATTTTCTGTGCAGGCCTGAGGGCATTGAACGTCAATACAGAAAGAAGTGTGCAAAGTAAGTATCAACAGTGTGGGTTTTTCTGAGCATGGGTCAGTAAAAGCATACTGTGTTAGGAAAATAATCTCTTTTTGATCTCGGTAATCTCAAAGGCCTTCAAACCAAATGCTAATATGCTTTCCAAAGATGCTAGTTAAATCCACCTCTGACCAGCTGATTATAAAAGTAAGGAAAATGAGGGGCCTTTTTTTTTTTCCTCAGAGGCAGGTTCTTGATAGGTAGTTCAGTATAGCTTTGAGCTTTTGCTCCTTTGCCCTAGCCTCCCAAGTACTAGGATTATAGGCATGCAGCACCACACCAGGCAAAAACTTGAGTTTTTAACATAGTATAATTTGAAAGATCAAGATGTAATATGTCTGCAGTAAAATGTACCCATCTGAATATTCAAGTCAATGAGTTTTGACAGAAAAATACAATAATAAAATAATGCCACCCCCGTCATGATAGAAAACATTTCCAACACCTTCCACCCTTCTCCCTGGTAGCCCCTGCTTTATGTCATACTGCTTTCACCGTTCCTAACACTTCTGTACAAATACATGTCTTTATACCTGTCTGTCTTTCTCTCTCTTTCCCTCTTCCCTCTTTCCCTCCCTCCCTGTCTCTTCTCTGCGCATGTCCGTGGCATGGAATACATGTCAGACTCAAAGGACAACTTGCAGAAGAGTTTTGCCTTTTTGCATGTGGGTGTTAGGGGTCAAACTCAGGTTTTCCAGCTTGACAGCAGACTCCTTTACCCACTCAGCCATCTGACTGGCCTTTATACTAGTTTTCCTCAGTTTGTTATTTTAGGGATTCATCCAAGGTGTTATATGTATCTTTTTAAAATTGCTGACTGTCCCATCCTATTAGTTCATTTACTCATTCACAGTGGTTTTTATTTTTGAGCATTTCATTGTATCAGTTTGTTTACCCATTGACAATTAATTTGAGTTGCTTCCAGTGTAGGCTATTATCAGTAAAGTTGCTGTGAGTATTCTAGATGGATTTTATTGTCAATGTATATTTTCTTTTGGAAGAGAATTGGCTGAGTCATAATGGAAAATGTGACACAATATAATTTAGTTCCAGGTTTATGTATAAAATCTATTATGTAGACAATAAAGCTAAGAATCTTAAAGGATGTTATTTAAAGCAAAACTTCCAGCTTTAGGCTATTAATAGTAAGAATATTAGTGAGTTCAAGTTTTGTTATTGTTGTTTTGAGACGGGGTCTCTGTGTAGCCCTGGCTATCCAAGAACTTATTATGTAGACCAGGCTAGCCTTGAACTCACCTGCCTCTGCCTCCAGAGTGCTGGGATTAAAGGCCAGCCTCTACGCCTGGCAGTTAAGTTCAATCTTTACATAAAGACAATTGTGTCTTAGTTCTCAAAAGATTCAGAGTAGAGGGTGGGCGGTGGTGGCGCACGCCTTTAATCCCAGCACTTGGGAGGCAGAGGCAGGCGGATCTCTGTGAGTTCGAGAACAGCCTGGTCTACAGAGCTAGTTCCAGGACAGGAACCGGGAACCAAAAGCTATGGAGAAACCCTGTCTCGGGAAATAAAAAAAAAAAAGATTGAGAGTGGGAGCAGTGAAGCAGAAGGAAACAAGTAGAAGATAGGAAGGCTTTGAGCTCCGCACCATACTGGATTGATGAGGCTGGTTTTATCATATCTTGTAGGTCTACTTTTTAGCTCAAAAAGCATAATGGTCAGCCAAAGAAAGTGTCCACTTTCTCTGATGCTGTAAAATGAAACAGCAAAGGGGACAGAATGCCCAAACCAGTGCCAAGACACCTGAATATAACGGTAGCAGTTTTTTACTACAAAGCCAATAGTGCCAAGAGTAGCATTAGACAGCATTTCCCAAATTTTGTCTAATGTCAAAAATAATCATATGGAATGCCATTGAAAAGAGCAGAGTCCCAGGCCTTACTCACCCCCTACATTTGCCAAACCAGGATCTTATGGGCCAGGCCTAGGAACCTGATTGGAAATTTCAACATGCATCCTAATTGATTCTTGCCCAGTCCGTTAGGGGAAAGGAAAACATTTTATGCCACAAACAAAGGTCTTCTGAGAAAGCAAGTCTCCTTTGTAAGTCGTGCTTTGGGGAGTAGAAGTAGAGCTTTGCAGAGATTCACTCCACCATTTGCAGGTGTGGGCTTCCGCTCTTCTACCAGTCCCAGCCGAAGAATGCGCCTGTGACGTTCATCGTGGATGGAGCAGTAGTGAAATTTGGTCAAGGCTTTGGGAAAACCAATATATATACTCAGAAGCAAGAGCCTCCTAAGAAGGTAATTATCATCCAAGGGCACAGGCGACTTAATACAGCTACACATTTAGTCCCAGGTTTCATTAGTGCTGGGGGTCATACGCAGGACTCGAACATGTTATGCAAGATCCACTGAGCTGGAGCACTGCCCCCTAAGCTTTAAAATAAAGCAACTCACCTATACATCTATAATATTATTTATTAAGAAAATGCAATTGTTGTATATAGCCAGATATTATAGAACTATGATATTTATTATTTGCTTCATATGCAGTAATCTTGTAAGGTTACAAATTGTATAATTTTTATTTTCCTCTTTTTAGGTTTTTTTTTTTTAGAGTGGGAACAATTAAATCCTCAATGAATTAGAATGATTTTTAAATATACTTAAAAATCCCTCAATAGTGGACTGGAGAGATAGCTCAGCCGTTAAAGGTTAGCCTCACAGCTAAAAATATAAGAGTTCGGTTCCCAGCACCCACAGCTCTCTCCAGCCACCTTTTGCCAGGTAGTGGTAGCACACACCTTTAATCCCATCAATCAGGAGGAAGGCAGAAGCAAGCAAATCTCTGAATTCGTGTTTAGCCTGGTCTATAGAGTGAGTTCGAGGATAGCCAGTGTTAAAAAAAAAAAAAAAAAAAAAAAAAAAACTCAAAAGGAAATGCTTGAAAACACTGACATTTAGATAGTTAGCCTGCCCTGTCCCTAAGAGGCAGGTATTCTCACACTGTGCCTGTACCCTGTACACAGACAGGCACGCAAATGCACATGTTTACACGGCTCATGGATCCTTGTGAGGTGACCTTGACTTGATTAGCTTGATACCTCTTCCTTCTCTTCTAGGTGATGATGACCAAACGGACTAAAGACATGGGCAAGTTCAGCTCTGTTACTGTCTCTACCATTGATGAGGAAGAAGAAGAGATAGAGGCTGTAAGTGCTTCGGCTTTCATGGGAATTGGAATTGGGGGGCGGGGGAGTAAGGGGACTTCAGTCAGAGCCTCTGCAGAGCAGAACAGTTGGCAGCCTTGCTTTCACACCCTGCTCCACTAGTAAGAAACTCGGTGCTATTGGGAGTACCTGTTTCCCTGAATGGGAGGGACATCTACTATAAAATGAGAACAAAGAATGTGGATCTTCACATCACTTTTTAATTTTAAAACTACTGAACTGGATTCGGATCTGACAGTTTACACCTATAATCCCAGTACTCTGGAGGTTTAGATGGGAGCATCTTACATTCAGAGTCTGCATGGTCCTATCTCCAAAACAAACCAATAAAAAATAAGGTACTGGACTGAATAATTTTCAGTCCCTCCCAGGCAGGCTCTAATGGTTTGAGTCTGTCCTTTGCAGTAACAGCAGTTACTTTTCTGGTATTTCAAGCCAAGTGTTTTTTATGGAGGGATGTTATCAAATGATCACCATGGAAACCTGAAGTCTCCTGGGTTATTGAGAAGATGAAGAATTGGAAGTGTAAGGAGGCCTGCTGTTTGAGTTCCAATTTATGGGCTTGAGTAGTACAAATAACTCCTGAGGTCTTGATTATAGTTCCTGGTAAGTGCGCTGGTCTGAAGGCCCTTCATTTTCCCTATAGAGGGAAGTTGCCGACTCCTATGCACAGAATGCCAAAGTGATTGAAAAACAGCTGGAGCGCAAAGGCATGAGCAAGAGGCGACTGCAAGAGCTGGTGAGTGGCATGGGAAAAGGCGCAGGCCTCCTGGCTTGGATTTCTTGCTTTGAATGATTTGCAAAGGCTCTTGGAAGTTATTAGTATAGTTGGCTGCCAGCTTCCTCACACCAGGCTCTGGCTGTGTTGGTAAATAGTGACTGGGGTCTAGCACTAAATTAGAAATCTTGTTTGCCAGGCCTAACTTGAGTGATGGTTAAGCCTGCTACTTTCTCTCTAGGGTCAGGATTAAGGGCCAGGTTTTTTAGTGCTTTCCAGTACATGATGGCATACAGTTCTGCTACCTCAGTAAACCCAAATTGATGGCATACAGTTCTGCTACCTTAGTAAACCCAAATTGATGGCATACAGTGCTGCTACCTCAGTTTACCCAAATTGATGGCATACGGTTCTGCTACCTCAGTTTACCCAAATTGGGACTGTGATTGCTTTTAAAGTACTGCTAGTTTTCTGCTTTATCCATGGGATTAACTTCGGAGCATGATATCTCTATATAGGGTGAGACCTACATTTTTTCAGTTTTTTAGCTAGCATATTTAGTGAGTTTCTTCATGGCATTTCATAAGAAGTGTTTCATTATCTTTGTTCTCATTCTTTCCCCACCTCACACTCTCCCTACCCCACAGCCTCCCCATGTCCCTACCCCACAGCCTCCCCATGTCCCTACCCCACAGCCTCCCCATGTCCCTACCCCACAGCCTTCCCATGTCCCTACTCCCTCTGGTTGGTCTCCTTACTTCTTTGCATAGTATCCCTCCTCTGCTTTTTTTTTTTTTGTTTTCATTCTCTCTGGTTTTTTTTTCAAGACAGGATTAGTCCAGGCTGACCTGACAGTTGCTATGTAAGCTGGCTTTGAACTCTCCTGATCCTCTTCCCTCTAGCTCCCTAGTTCATGGATTACAGGTCTCCATTCTGCTTGTCCTTCTGCTTTCTTAGCACACATATCCCTCCTTCCCCTTGATGATCTACACACACATACACATGTAATTTTATATCTAGCTTTCATGAGCCAGAGTTTGATGAATTGCTGGATAAGGAAACCACAGTTGGCTTATACACTGAGCAGTTAAGGGCAAGTGGGACAACTAGAATAAAGAAGAAATGTTAAGAATTTCATGTGATTGTGATGTATCAGGGCATACTTTTTTTTCTTTCCAGGCTGAATTGGAAGCCAAGAAAGCAAAAATGAAAGGGACTCTGATCGACAACCAGTTCAAATAATTCAGATCTTTCTGAGTTGAGACTGGAGGCCGGCACTTAAATCAAGACGAAAGAGCTTCTTGATTTCATGGTCTTGTTTCTATGTCCCAGGAAGAATCTTTCTGACCATCCCATTGAGTTTCCTGAATTGCTGTTCTTGTCTTTCACTAAATTCCTTGACTCTATTTCACTTGCTTTCTAGGAGGTAGATTGTTTTCAAAATCTTTGTATAAGTAAGTTTTCTGTCTTACTTGTCTTTGAGACAAGTTCCTGGTACACACTGGAGGACGGCCCTGAACCTATAATCCTCCCGTCTTAGCCCCTCCAGTGCTGTAACTGCAGGAATGCACCACCGTGCCTGGCTTCCCTGTCAGTCCTCTTCTGTAATATCTTTAGGGCTAGATAAGTCTCTAGTTTCTAAGGTTGATGGTTTTTTATGTCTTCTTCAAAGCTAATAACTGTTTTAAATTTTTTGAAAAAAATATGGTATGGGAGGAAAGTTGGAGGAATTAAAATTAATTCCTTCTAATTCTTAAAAGGTGGATCCTTTTAAGAGATTCTGTCTCTGATCTTTGAACTGCCCTTAGAATTAACTAGGGTTTGAATCATTCTCTTGTCGGTAGAAATCAGTTAGAAACCCGAATCTGCAGAAATATTTCTTTACTTAAAAATAATAGAGTTATATGTGAGCCATGCCATATGAAACTACAGAATTAAAGAAGGAAAAGCCATGTGGCTGGGGGTGTAGCTCAGTAATGGAGTACATGCTAGGCATGTGTGAGGACATCCCCAGCACCAAAAACAAAAAAAGAGAAAGAGCCAGATTGCAGATGCAGGGGTAGGGTAGCTCAGGTCTGAATGAAAATATGGCCTTGCTAAGTAACCCAAAGGAGCTAGTCAGTCAGCTGGGAGAATTACTGTGTGAGTACACAGGAGGGGGCGTAGTGAGAGTAGATTATCTGTTGGGTGTCTTGTTTTCCAGTTGCTATTTGCAGAAGCCTGTTTGAAGTATGTCATTCCTTCAGTGATGTCAGTATCCACGTGGTTCTTCCCGTATTCCTTTCTGTTTGCCTGTATTGCAAGGCGTGAGGAAACATGGAGTGTGTTGCCCTCCTGGTGTTATCTCTGACCAATTGCACTTTTAAGACTTGTTTGTGAGGTGCTGCCAGGAAGTCATTTTCTTTGCCTTTTCTGATTTCATTACTTGCAGGGAAAAGTAGGCTAGAGTGGAGGTACAGTTGCGCTAGCAAAAACTGGGCCAAAGAGGATTGGGACTGCTGGGAATGCAGACTGGTATGGGTCACCACCTTCCCAGTGACTCCGCAGCCAGTGAATGGGATCTGCCTTTGGCTAATTCTTCACCTCCTTTCCTCTCCTTTAACATTGTATGAATGACCAACTGTGTCCACCAGACAATGACCTCTGCCTTTACTCCACTTTATCCCCAAATTCCTATGTGCACAGCTTGGATATGCTTACACCACCTCAGACATTCAGGCTTCTAGTCTCTGGCCACAGCCTCTAATTATTGCTAGTCTCACGGACTTACTTCCTTGTAGACCTTTTTAGGTGTGTGTTTAGACTTGAGGGGTGCTTACTTTGTTAGTAATAATGAAACCTAATGGTAATAGCAGCATTAATACTCATTACTCTCCACTGAGTACTTGGTGTGTGTCAGATGCTGTGGAAAGCACTTTAGAGGTATTGGCTCTCTCGGACAATACCTCCTATGATAGTTAACTCTTGTCATCACCTTTTTCAAATGAATACCCCTGAAGCTCAGACTTCAAGTTCCCCAAGAGCCACTGGCCAGGAATTGGGAAAGCCAAAAATCTGACTTTAAAACTCAAGCTCTACTATGCTGAACTGCTTCTCCTGTGGAATCTTTATTTATATGTATGTATAGTTAGATCAGAACATAATCATTTTGAAAAATCAAGTGACGTGCAATGTAAAAATACTCAGCTAGAGAACCCCTAAAGCAATTCTGTGGTTATACTTCTACATATCTTCTGAAATAGTTAGATAAATGCCAATCATTTTAACTTCTGGCTCAAGTTACAAATTTTGCTTCCTCTATAAG